AGCCGAAGCTGGACACTTAACCGACTGAGCCACCCAGGAGCCCCTCCTTTTTTTCTCCTAGAAAATGTGATGAACTGATGGCTTTTCACTGACTTGATTTGTTTCGATTATTTGTAGTCATTAGTTATGTTTTGGTGATTGGAAGGTCACAAGTTAGCCAAAGCAATCCTTAAGCTGCCCGTGTAGCCTTTGGACAAAAGTGGGCAAATTCTTTTAAGTGTCTTTGCTTTCTGGTAACAAGACATCCCATACCCATGTTATACCTGCCCTGTCCCAGACGTGCAATCAGCTAGTTTCCTAAGCCCCAGTTCCCTTCAGTGGAAATTGATATTAGAGACCAAACTGAAAAGTCTTAATCCTATATTCAAACTATAATTAGGCCTCATTATTTTTATCATAGATGACTCATGTAATTGTCAGTCTGAAACTCTTTTTTTTTTTTTTTTAATGAATTTGGCTCTTTTCTTCAAACTTTTTTTTTTTTTTTAATTTTTTAACGTTTATTTATTTTTGAGACAGAGAGAGACAGAGCATGAACGGGGGAGGGGCAGAGAGAGAGGGAGACACAGAACCGGAAGCGGGCTCCAGGCTCCGAGCCATCAGCCCAGAGCCCGACGCGGCGCTCGAGCTCACGGTCCGCGAGATCGTGACCTGAGCTGAAGTCGGACGCTCAACCGACTGAGCCACCCAGGCGCCCCTGAAACTCTTGATTCATAACAAAGCTAACAGAATGACTGATTTATTTTACTTGCCAATAAAAGAAATAGATCCACAATAGTGAGGCCAGAATTAATGCTTATGATACCACTGCTAAATGAAATGCAAATTTGTATTTGTACTTGCCTGTGTCCTTGAGGCACAGTGAAATTACTTGGCTTTATTACTCTGAAATAATCCCTCAGTCTGTGGGTTGTGGAAGTTCTGTCCAAATGTTTCAGTTCGTTTTCAGTTTGAAGGGGTCAGAGTTTGACAGTTCTGAGCTCTTCATAAATTTTTTCTAAAATGTTTTAATGTTTGTTTTTGTGAGAGAGAGAGACATAGCATGAGTGGGGGAGGGAGAGAGAGAGAGAGAGAGAGAGAGGAAAACACGGAATCTGAAGCAGGATCCAGGCTTCCAGCTGTCAGCACGAAGCCCGATGAGGGGCTTAAACTCACAAACTGTGAGATCATGACCTGAGCCGAAATCGGCCGCTTAACCAACTGAGCCACCCAGGCACCCTGACAATTCCGAGCTCTTTATATTTTAGCTTCTGCTTTCCACTTGGGACTGTCTTCAGCCACTGACAAAAGAATTAGTTTTATTGGCTCACATCATGAAGATAAATAGTAATACCTCAACAGTTGAATCTTCGTAGTACAAAATGAGAATTTCATTTAAATCACTGTCTGGATCACCTACAATGACTCATTGCACAGTTATATGTGCAAGATTTATGTATGTGCAATCTGAACAAGGCTGGACAGACCTAGTCCGACTTCCTCTATTCAATCTCTCTTAATACATTGGGAAGCCACAGCTTCCTGACTCCAATCAGACTTCTATTGTACTAAATCCTATCCTAACATGAGAGCTTTTCGGTTATCTGCCTCCTCCCCCGACCCCCGGCCCAGCCAGCTTTTCTTCTGTCAGTCATATATGATACCAATCCCTTCCAATCAATATATCGTGTGTTCTAAGTATTGTCACATCAAACCACAGGTCTAAATAATGCTTCATTTAGTTTTACAATATATATAAGCCAAGATAGTTTTCTATATTGCTGTTTTCTAAATACAGTACCATTTATTAAGACATCTTAATCTACCTCCAAGAAAAATACACACACACACACACACACACACACACACACAGTGGAATATACATATGTATTAGAATGGCATACTATTGGGAGAATATATACCAATTCAGGTTTTTCAGGTTTTGTCAGAAATATTCTTTTAACTCATAAGGTCATAATTCTGACCTTATTTTTCTACACATATGTTTTTCTTCTTTTCCTTTTAATTTTCATTCCAGCTAACAGACAGTACACATACACTTTTCTATTGTCAATAGTATTAAGTGCGAATGGCTCAGTAGTGTTCCAAATCTTCAGTGGCTTTTGGATAAAAACAACCAAATAAGACACAATTCCATTATAGTGTTGAAGAGTTATTTCAGATGTTACGTATGTCACTTTAAAGCTTTAGCCACAGGTGACTTCTGACTCTGGTTCTGATGGAGAACGATGCAGTAGGCTCTCTCTCCGTCTAGATTGTACAGATGTAAATCTGTGCGCACACCAATAAAAACCATATTCTATAGTGGTACCAAGGAGTGGCGGGTGCAGGCGGGCCTTGGCCAGTGGCATTCCGGACAGGGGCAAGCCTGTCCTAGGTGGGTAGCCACCGAAGCCTCCATTCCTGGACCAGCCACTGAGCTGAATGCGGGCGGGCAGCGTGGGCTTCCCGGACCATTGTGCATAGTCGTGCATTCCAGAGCCGTGCGAGAGCTCCAGCCAAAGGTGCTCCCACACACTGGTGCTGGGCTGCCGGCCCAGGTACTGACAAGATCAAAGCCTCTGGCTCCTTGACAGTGACCGGAGTCCGGGACCAACCAAAGCTGAACTCCATCTCATTGCAGCCGCGGTCCAGCCCGGCCCCCTGCTCGGCTAACTCCTGGTGGGCTCCCCATGGCCAGCCCCTCACAGCGCCAGACCGGAAAACACTTGGTCTCTCCAGGAAAGAGAAAACAAAATTTCAGGAAACTCTTCAGTATTCAAGAAAAACAATTTATGGAAGACCTTTGTTTTATGATTGTACCGAATTTTAGCTGTAATACCCTTTAACTGCAATCCCGTGTTTCCACTGAATTTGCCTGAAGTGTTTGCTCTTTACCTTTGGTGCAGAAATAAAATACGTTATATGCCTTAAATTCCCAATTGTGCATGCAGTGGGATCTGGACAATAACCACAGATACATTTTTTTTTAAAGAAAATACTTTAGGGGCGCCTGGGTGGCACAGTCGGTTGGGCGTCCGGGTGGCGCAGTCGGTTGGGCGTCTGACTTCAGCCAGGTCACGATCTGGCGGTCTGTGAGTTCGAGCCCCGCGTCAGGCTCTGGGCTGATGGCTCGGAGCCTGGAGCTTGTTTCCAATTCTGTGTCTCCCTCTCTCTCTGCCCCTCCCCCGTTCATGCTCTGTCTCTCTCTGTCCCAAAAATAAATAAATGTTGAAAAAAAAA